TATGATTCAGGTTCTACAGTTAAGCCTATTTTTCAGATCGTAACACAGAACTGCTTCAATTACTCTCAACAGGTAGAAAAAAAGCAGGCCTTCAGTCATTCTCAGCACCACGGCTCAGGCAGGGAAATAGTAGCTCATTATGCCCCTTTACTTTTCTTCTTAACAGCAAAGCATTAAATATTTTCTATTTAAGATGCACCACTCTAGTGCCACAGACGCACCTGCAATTGCTCCAGATCCTTCCTGTGACAAAGGTCATCACAGTGCTATCAGAAACATTTCATTTTGCAGAACTCAGTCGCGTTTCTCTTTTGAAAACATGTAATTTGAGAAGGAAAACTTGATTTTGCATAGTCACTCAAAGCCCCCATAGCTCTAACCACAGGAGGAATAGGGCAGTGCTTGCAGGTCACACAGCCCCACAGGCTCCCAGCTGAGCGCCCTTCACCAACCAGAGCCAATTTGAGTGCCCCACTTGCAGCAGTCAGGCTCCAGGCAAGGCACCATCAATTAATATCTCAGAAGTTAATACTTAAGGGCCACGAAAACAGACATGGGAAACAGGAGTCCTAACAGCTTCCTTTGTTTTAAGTCATGTACTCACAAAGAACACATGCATCACTAAGCAGAAAGAACCCCACAGCCGTTTTTCTCTAACTGGTCTCCCCCAACAGGCTACACTTAATTTGATTTTCTAACAAGGGATCCATTTTCATTATGTTCCGATTTGAGCAGCACGAGCTAGGCACATCAAACCAGAGCAGCACTTAGAATTGCTGCTAACTGCTTTTAATAGGCAGCAGACACGCACAGAGCAGAGGCCAAGCATTTGGAGCAGAATATCCAGCACAGGTCACTTTGTAGCAGCATAGCAAACTGGTGTCCTATGACCTGCAGGCACAATTCTAAGGTTGAGCAGTAACCATACACGCCATTATGCTGGGGCTGGAGAGAAGGAATAAGCCAGAAAGGAGTAAGAACCCCCAGGACAAAACCTGTCATACGCAAACGCTGTAAACTGCATTTCAATGGAAGGCCAGTATGATGCTCAGACTTCTCCCATCTGTGCAGCAGCAGTAATTCCCTGTCCTTTACTCCCCAGTGCTCTCATCTGCCCCTTGTACACCAGCGCTGCCTTTGCTTTCAGCACTTGAGCACTGCAGCCTTTGTGGCTACTTCAACTACACGGTGACCCTTCCACCAGGCCAGCTGCACCCCATGAGGGGGGAGCTGCACCCCATGCTGCCACTCCTCCCTCCTCATATAGCCAACCACCCCCTCCACAACACCAATCCAAACCTTCCTGGATCTGCTGGGGAAACCAGGTCCTTGTACCAGCACAGCACTGTGACTGGTAGCAGAAGCTGGGGAAAGGCACAGGGCTCCCACCTCAGCTCTGCATGGAGCTGCTCTGACTCAAGTGAGCAGCTCGTACTGGCTGCTGGGCCAAGCAATCGCTCAGGTTTCTTACTCCTAAATCCAGCTCTGTCTTCAGTGCACATTAGAATGTAGCAGAGATGATTTACCACGCGTTAAGATGCTCTCGATCAAAATCCTGCCGCTAAATCAGGGCTCTAAGCAGCCTGCTTTCTATGCAGATTGAGAAATGGAGAGTTGTGTGAGGGTGCTTTGCTATAGCCAAAGGCAACAGAGGCTTGCCCAGCTATAGGAAGTCAAATGAAATCAAAGTTGGGAGAAGGGGGAAAAGCTGTACAAAGCAGGATGGCAAAAGTCAGTAATGGCTTTGGCAGTCAATCCCATGTTTTTGTGCAACAATGTGAAAAGCTGCACACAGAGAGGAACCCACTTGTGCCAGCCCTGGGTCAGGAGGCAAGGCATCCAAAACCTGGAGGGCACAGGTTATTGAGTTCTCTGCCTTGCATCTCTGCCTTTTTATTCTTGCTGTGTTTTTTTTGTTTGTTTTTTTGGTTGTTTTTTTTTTTAGGCATTTTGCAAGTAACTATGAAGCTTCGGCCACAGCCAAAAATCCTCAAGCAATTTCCTGTCTCTGAAAGAAAGGCTCCCTTCACAGTGAATTGATTAAATATGAGTTACTAAAATTAGTATACAGCAAGCTACCTTAAGTCACCCACCTCATGTCTGTACCTGTAACACACTGCTCCAAGCAGAGCACAAAGATCAGCTACAAAAGTATACAGAATCACAAAACTAATACACAAAAATCAGTTGAACTGCACGATGAAGGTTTACAATGCCTTTCCAGAGCAGATGATTTTCAGTTTCATTTAACCTACTTTCAAGTGGGTTTTTCAAAAGGAATTCACTTGATTCCTTTATTAGTGTACTCTTAAGATTAAATTTGTTCCTCCTGCTTTGTGAGCCTGACACACAATTTAGCTTTCAGAGAATCAGCACTTCTCATCACAACCATTTGCAGCCTAAGTCTTTACTGCAAAACTACAAGCTACATCTATCTGCTCCACCTCCCAGTATTATCAGTTCCCATTTCTTTTAAGGTCAACATTTTACAAAAAAAACCACACCACGATACAAACGTTAACTCCTATAAATGCTCGGTGTGTGAGGGTAAGCAATCAGCTCGATGCACCATCAGAAACTTGCTCTGAAGTCCTTTGGTATCCCTTCAGAGAAGTTGGTGGTCTACTATTTGCAGCTGTGCAGGTTTTCAACAGAAGCCTTCAACATCTTTTAAAAGTCCACTTAACAAGCTTCACTTCGCCAAAAAGCTAGCTTCCACGTGCTTTACACACATACTAGTTCACCTAAGACTGCTTAACTGGGCGATCTGAGCACATTTACTAGGTGCAGCAAGACAGCTGCCTCTCAGCAGCAAATTATCTTCTTTGTCTCCCTTTAGGCTTCTGGGTCTCCTTTCCTCATGAAGCAGAGCTATTGTTTCACAGGCAGGGTTTGCCCAGAAGAAGGAAGTGGGAGGAGGACAAAAAGAAGCCTGCATTGTGGAAAATAAATAGCTCCATTAAGGCTCCGCAGGATGCTGTAAGGCACATTTTTTAGGAAACCACCCTCCTTACAGTACACCACGGAGCACAATAGAGTTTATCAGAAGCTCTCTTTCTCCAACAGCCACATCCCCTTTCCGGGCTGTTAGAACAGTGCTGCAGCCAACGGCGCTCTCCAGCCTTCCCACCACCTCCAAATCACACTCCTTGCAGAGGCACTTGGAAGGTAGATGCTGGGAGTCATTGCAGGGGCTGCTTTACAACACCTCAGCAAATGGAAAGAGATGCCAGTGAAACTCTATCTGACCCTTACCAAAGGAGGGACCATCTGTCAGTAAGGACCGAGCTGAACAACTTACTTCAGGGAGACCAAGGTTAAGTTTCAGCTTCACTGCCAAGCATGACCATGCTTTATTTACATTAAAGGCACCAAGAGTCTTCACAAGTTCCTCACAAATAAACAACAAATTCTGAAGAAGTCTAGAGACTAGGGAAGGCATACCATAGAAGGAAATCTTGATGCAATGGGAAAGATGAAAAATGGGAATGGGAAAAGCAGCAGCCACATGAGGGCCTTGGCATTTCAGAGCACAGTAATGCTCAATCCCCACTGCACTTTCCTGAATGCATATAAATTTCAGCTTCAAGCCAGTCATCAAGAACTGGCAGCATGCAGATGGATCCCAGCTCATTTTCACAAGCGTCAGCTCAAGCCTACAGAAAGTATAAAAGGTTTGAGACTGGCGAATTAGGAACCGTGTTAGTAATACAGAAAACACTATAATAAGAGAAAGATGCACCATGTACAGTCAGGCTGCCAAACTTAGCAGAGGTCTCAGAAAGCTGACAAAGATACTGGAATAAGGGAAATGCTAGGGGAATACCCTAATGCCATCAATACTAGTAGTGTCTAGTTTGTGAAATCAGTCAATGTTAAGGGATATATTTTTTATATATATATATATATATTAAAATATATATATATTAATATATATAAATATATTAATATATATATATTAAAATATATATATTAAAATATATATATTAAAATATATATATTAAAATATATATATTAAAATATATAAAATATATATATATATATCAAAGAGATTAACCCAAAGTCTGCTACCACTTTCATTGCAAGAGGCAATTAATTTCTGTTTATTTCAACAACATTAAATCTTTACTTCTTAGATACATTTTTTTTCCCTTCACTATGATGCCAGGAAAAAAAAGTACGAAGGAAAAAGGGTATCAGGGGAACAAACCAGTCCTGAAGAGATTCAGAGAAGGAATCAAGCCAATCTACACTTTCAAGACCACACCTGAACTGCAGGCTGGTTTGTATAGGGATTTGCACACGAAACCATTTCTCAAGGGTCAAACCAGAGCTCTGGAATCCTTCTGGAGAGATTTCAGCTAACCAACCAGTTAGGTAACACAGTTTGTTGACTTGAGAGATGTCAGGTATATCCCAAGCAACACTAGGCTTGCTCTACTAACTTACAAGCAGTCAGCAGAGTTGAGACAAGCCTGTTACTTTGGGAAAAATCAAGATTTCTCCTGAAATTAAAAAAAAAAAAAAAGGGGCAAAAAGACTAGATAGTCTTGTGGTAGCTCCCAGCTTACAGTTCTATGTTTGAATGCTGACACACACTTTCCAAAAGAATTGAAAGCCACATGCTTCCTTAGAGCAGGATCTCCTTTGCCTTACATGGATCACATTTATAGTAGGATAAACTGTCAAATATAACAACAAAAGGTTAGATGGTATTTTAGCTGCATAACTTTTTCACAGTGTGTAAAAGCCCTGTCTCTCATGCTCCTTCTTCCCCCTCCGCATATACCTTCCTCAACCCCCCACCCAAGGGCAGACCCTTGGCTGAAATGTCATTTGCTATCCCATTTTTTTTAAGCACATGCTTTGTAATCTTCTTTTTGACACATTACAGCTAATTGTTGTGCCTCACTGTGCAAGTATGTGCAATGGGAGAGATGCAAATGGAAAGACCGAGGCACACATTTGCTTCAGACAGGTTAGGGCCAGGAGAACAATACCTTCAGGAGTTCCTCCTGCCTCGTTTGCATTTGCAAGGCAATGGGAGGCACAAGTCTGAGCCTAGGAATCAGAGCACACTGTGCTAGTTGCTGGATAAACTCAGAATTAAAAAAAACAAACACCAACCACCCAACTCTACTACAAGGACATCTAGAGCTCCCATTCCAGAAAGAAGCCACCTCTTGCACTCGAGTCATGATTGGCTCCCTGTGGTCTTACTCTCACAATAGGTTCTTATGATCTAACCCCTGGAGAAAGCCAGAGCTTTTTGGTCTGCTGCTAACACCCAATAAGATCTGCACCACGCCTGTTCTTAATGCTCTCTTTGTTCATTACAGTGGATTCAGAGGATTGAAAAGGAAATTAAAAGGTCACTCAGAAACTCGAGCTATTTCTGTCTCAGAACATGCCAATAATTTGGCTCAGAAGCAAGAATTAGAAAGCAAGTCTGCTTGGAAACGGACTTCCTTCCCTCAACTACACATCAGTAAATATTTAACTCCTTTTTTATTTCTGTACCTACAGACACTGACACAAGCTCGATCCTTGTTGATTTATAAAACCAGACTTATTCATAAGGCAAAGAGTAGGACTGCGTATTCATTACTTCACTGCTGTTGGCCCTTCCTCTTCACTTCCCAGCTCCTTCCCCACATCTTCAAACGTTAACATGGTCTCACCTCCGCTTTCCTTTCTCTTTTGTTCCTTCAGATTACTACCACATCCCTTTACCCTCTCTGCACACACTCCAATTCATGTCAGACACACCTGAGTGAACCTTCCATCTCCCTCCAGCTCCTTGTGCTACTTCCTCAGTAGAGCTCATTAGCAGAGTCTCCAGGACTGCTCGTGACTGAAAAACTCACCCCTGGGCATACAGAAATGAGTTTGTAAGGTTTTGAGGGCAGTTACTTTGTGGATTTTCAAGCTAATGCTGCAGCCATGCAGCACCCTACGTGGAGGTGTGAACGCATTGCTCTGCTTCACAAGGGCTGAACCATGCTCTCCCTTCTCAGTGCAGGCACAGAGGTGTTGCACCTCGGTAATGTAGCTACTGTCCTCCATGCAAGGGGTCATTGCCACCCTACAGCTGTCTGTCTGACATTTTCCTAAACAACTGCAACTGGGAACATAGGAATCTCCTGCTCGAGGGAAAAAGGAGCAGACTGGCTCCTCTCCAGTGCCAGATGTACTTTCAGACTGCCTGCTGCTTCTCCTGTTGCCTTTTTCTTTTTTTTTCTTTTTTTCAATTGTTCCCCAGTTCAGCCATGTCGCTTTCAGAGGGGGAACCTATGAACAATCCTATACTTCTTGCCTGGGATCAAGAGATGCTGAACACGTCTTTCAGGGCTTGATGCTAAGCCAAAGTGTGGTTCAACATGGGCACAACAGGCTACTGCAATGGCTGTGGTGGGCCAACTACACAGCAGTTGGACAGAGGACCCAAGTTCACTCCTGAATTGCTCTGCCCTCAGCCCAGTGCCCCCAGATGCACCTTTTCTCCCTCTGACAAATAGTTCTCTAGGTTTCAGTCTCTTATACAAATGGATATTTAATATAGTGTGGCCCACGGCTGGCTCTGCATGACCAAATGGCCACCTTGAGGATGCCCCGTCCATAGAAGTGTTCAAGGCCAGATTGGATGGGGTCCTGGGCAGCATGGTCTAGTATTAAATGGCGAGGTTGGTTGCCCTGCATGTGGCAAGGGGGTTGGAGATTCATGATCCTTGAGGTCCCTTCTGTGAACTGTCTGCAAGCCAGGGTGTTTTCCAACAAAAGCTGCTTGCAGGAATACCTTGTCTCAAAGAACACAGCATCCAAGGGCTTGCAGTTGCTAAGAAGCATAGCACAAACACACCAGTAGGAGCCCCCACCACAAATGACTTATAGCCTCAAAACAAGACAGCCGGCCCCAGAGAAGTCAGTCTTCCAGAGAGGACTGCTGGTTTCTGAGCACGGATGGTAGGACAGTTTTGTATCATATCTTTCAGAGGAACATGATCTGCAGCAAAGCCCTCAAACCCAGAGAGGATCGTCCACCTGCCCCCACTTCCTTCACTGCAAGGATCAGATAAAATCTCTTCTCGAGAAGTCCATGCTTTCCCAAAGGGGGAATATCAACCCCCACACTGTTAGCCTTGCAAAGTGAAGCAGCAGATGATGCATCAACATACTCAGCAGAAGATCCATCCTAGGGCTTTTCTGAGATTTTGACCAAGGTTAGATTTACAGAAAAAGAGAAATAATTATCTTACTCCCGGGCAAGAAGGCAGCAGTTCACACCAGCACTTGTTCCAGCAGCACAGGTAAAGTTCACACAGGTCAGCAAAGCAGCGCAGGCTCACAGAAAGCTTTGGATGCTGCCTCTTTCCAGCAAGGCCTCCCCAGGAATATAAAGAATGTCATTTCTGAGGAGATGAGTCACTCTCACCAGCAAGGACCAAAGTTTCTATTGGTGTTGTGTCAAGCACTTTAAACAAACAAAACTGCCATGCAAACAAAGAGAACAACTCTTCATAGTGTAATCTTCCAATCCCTGTGTGCCAGACTGAGCAATGCTGCGGTCTGTTGGCGCTCATAGATACTCATCTGCTGCAATCCACCACCATACACCTTCTCTCCCTTACTGAACTGCTACAGTACTCAGGTAAACAAGAGGAAAAACAATTATACTGGTAGGGAATATATTTTAAAAGGTAGTCATTTACATCCAGAAATACCCCCGCTCCCTTGCTAAAGCAACACTGCTCTGGTATGTTAAGTTATGCAGATTTGGAAAGAAATTGCATTCACAAATAAAATCAAACTAAAACAAGCCACCAGGAGGAAGGTGGGGTGGACCATTGATTCATACTGAAGAACAAAGTTCAGAGGCCATAAGTAACAGCACAGCAGAAGGAGAAACCATTCAGCTGAGCACACTGACCCAGAACGCAGGGTTCAGTCACCATCTATGCACGTGTACACTTCAGAAACATGGCTCAAGAAGGACCATTATGCGAGTCCTTCTGTGCCCTTCATTTTTAAATGCACATTTAAAAATTCAGAGCAATTACTGATACACTGGATCTGTGCTCTTACAGCCCTCTGCAGAAAGGGTAGAAAGAAAACAAAGAGAATTTGTGTAACAAAAGAAAACAGCAAGAGAGGAACATCTGCGGCTTTTACCAGGAGCACCATATGGTCTGTATCTGAGGTACAGAGAATGAGTTCATTCATATTTAAAAGCAGAAGTAATAGGTCACTCCTCCCCGGACACAAGGGAAAACGGCCATCCCCCTTCCACCGTTCCAGCCCTATCCCCAAAACAGATTTGGCATTCTGAAGAACTGGTGCTGCTGGTATTCCTGCCCAGACAATCAAGCTCAGAGCACTTCATTACAAGACGCCAGAATGAGGAGATGAGAATGTCCCTTCCGAAGTTTTGTTTAGCTGCAGCACAAGCCTGCTTTATCCAGCCAGAGCTGCAGTGCTGAATGTCTAGTTTTGTCTGAGCATTGCTGTAATCTACTAATGGAGCTACGACGTTTGGCAGTAGTGCTGTGCTGTGCTGACTATCCTTACGTCTCAGCTGATATCCGGGAGCCACTGTCAGCTCCCGAAGGCTCTGCCTCTAACGGCAACCAATAAAGGTCGTTTAGGTCTGAACATCCAAGAACCTCTTTCTGCAACAAATGAGCAGAATGTTAGAAAGCAATGCTGCAACAACAAAGACAAATCAGCTGAGGTTTCTTCTTCAACAATGCTATCCCTCAGCAAAGTTACAATACAGGATATGCAGGTCAAGCAGGACAATCTTAATACCGTTTCACTGTCTCTTTAAAAAAAAAAGATCGGTAAATTTTGTCTTTGTTATGCTTTGCTTTTCTCTCTTTTTGAGCACTTAGTGATGGCTATCACATGACTCTGAAAGCCTTCGGCAAGCAAGACTGGAGGTACTGGTAAAGTCCCTCAACAGCACACAAGCTAATTCAGCTATTGGAAGAGTTCCTTGTCCCAATTAGACCTGCCATATTTGTTGCTTCTTTATTCTTTTTAAACCTGAATCCTCACTTGCTCTCTGAAATTCAAGTCATCACTTTGTCAATCGAGTTTTCACTGCAAGAGATGGATGGCAAAAAAGGATTAGAAGGATTTTGCAGCAGCGCTGAGCAGCCTAAGCCACAAAGAACAGCACATAAAAGCCTGCTCTGACAACTGAATGCCAGAAGTAAATAAAATGGAAAATGACAGGCCAGATTAACAAGTGCCAGCATTAGCTCCCAGACTCATCCAGGTCACAACACACCCCAGTGTCCCCTCTCCATCCCTTTAAAACGCTCCAGTGTGAAACCTGTGGCGCCCTGAGCAACACATACCACTGTGTGTTAGGCTCTGTCCATGGAAGAGAACCTGGGCAAGAAACCCAGAGTGAGCACTCCCACAAAAAGAGCAATTAACGAGTGCCTACAGCAGAGCCAAGAATTTGCTTAGATAGCCCCATGTTCTCGGTGCAGAGCTTTCATATGGACTCAAGTCTGCTGCCAAGGCAGCAAGGCTGTTTCAGATCCCCTACAAGCAATAAACGGAAAGCAATGCAGCAGAGCGGAGACACAGACAGCGACTGTCTGATTAACAGCCTCGCTGCCAGAAAATGCACGAGGGAAAAGGAATCTAATATCTGAATTTAAGCTTTTGCCAAGTCAAATATTTACTAAGGGGTTGGTATCAGTCTCATCTTAGGACCAGAAACTTCAATCTTATGCTTATAAAGAAGCCAGCTTTTGATGATGCTTTCGTATCATAGTTGTTACCTCCCATTGTTTGCCTCCCTCCCCCACACACATTTCCTTTACTGGTGGTCCTGTTAAAAAGGGTACACGCTGCATCGGAGGGCAACGGAAGCAGTGTACTCCTGTGATGCAGCAGCCTCCTAGGGAACCTGAAAACAGAATGAGGGCTTCTGATTTTAAGGCCTTCTGTAACACAGGAGGTCCGTGTTAAATTATCCTTATATAAGATTTTCCATGCCATCAGAAGCCACCCACAATCGATTTTGAGCAAGATCCATAATCTAGGTTTCTTCCACGTCAAAAGAAATACCTATTGCCAGCAAAACCATCACAGAATTAAATGCATTTCCAAACTTGGGGGTGGGGTGGGTAGGAGGGGCGCAGAAATCAATAGCCTTGGAAATCACAATGGCCATGGCACAGCTTTAAGCAAGTCAAAAGCCACTGGGAGAGATTAAATATAGATTTCTATAACAATCACTTTTACAGTCTCTTTCCTGCCTAGTGTCATTAACTCTGCTTGTGGCTAACTGTGATCAAAACCACAGCAACCTTGCTACTCTTTTCAGAAAAGGAGGATTTTATGGAGAAAAACAAAATTCAGGGTTTTGAGGTTTTTTGTTTGTTTTTTTTTACTATGTGGAACTTGGGATGTCCTATGCATTTTAGTATTACCTGAATCTATAGCTGGACACAGGGTTCCCACTGCACTCTAGGGCACGAAGAAGCACAACCCTGAGAACAAAGGAAGGCCAGAGCACACCAGCAGCTGTGCGAGTGACACCAATGCATGCACACAGGAGTGCAGTGGCCAAAATGACTGCATATGGCACCTGCCCTCTGCAAGGGGTAAAGGAGCTGAGAGGGAGAGGCTAGTACTTTACAGGGCAGAAGTCAGCTTTCACATTCTCTTCTGAAGTCTGCTATCAGCCCTGCAGTTTCAATATTAAATTTCATTAACAAGGGAGGAGAGGCACTATCCCTTCTTGCTTAAAAGCCGTTAAGTTTTGCCTCAGAAAGTCTGACTTTCGTCCTCATATTTGTCATATATATAATAATAAAAGAGTATTTTTTTCACTTGTAAATTAAAAGGAGCTTCAGGAGTTAAAGATGCCCCCAAACTGCTCTGTCATGGTCTGAACTCATCCAACTCCTTATTGCTTAGTTTCTTATCACCACATGCAGACTAGAGATGAAAAAGAGAAAGACAGCCAAAGCCTACAGCCCTGGGAGAAGCAGATCTATTCTGCAGGGTATCAAAAGGACTATATCTACGACAACAGGCATGCTACAATCTACTACAAGGAGAAAGAATCATTTATGTTCCAAAGTTTCGTAATCTTGTATGAGTAGACGTAAAGCAATTTTTCAGACATCGGTAGGACTTCCCAGGTAGTATTATCTACCTTGAAGTAGTTACTGCCCTCTAGTCATTCAGAAATCCCAGAGTAACAGCATTTTGGTTTGTTTTCTGAACACCAAGGGTTTGAGTTCTCCAGTCTGATGAAGTTTGAAGAGGAAGCCATTCCATTTGTTGCAAAAGCAGGTGAGGTCTCGCTCAGAGATATGTGGGAAGAGATGTTCAAATTCACCTTTTCCCAGAGATTCATGCAAATCTTGCTCTGTGGTATAGCTGTCACTGCATGTTTTTCATCCCAGATAAATACAGTGGTTTATTTAACGCCTACTACCACAAAGTAGCTTAGTTTTCCTTTCCAGGCCAGGTAGCAGCCCTGTATTATTGAGTCTGGCTCTGTCCTGCCCTCCCACAGCCACCCCCACATACAAGGTCACAGCCTCCCCACATGTCACTCCGTGTGTCAGGGGTGGCTGGCACAGCCCTACACAGACAGCTGGAAACTTGGCAACCTTGCAGCCAAACAGTGGAAAAAACACAATATAATGAAATCACACACCACAGTACAAGGCATGCAGCTGCCACACATTACACCCTATTACACTGGAAATAGCCATTAATTGTAGAAGTAAATCCACGTGCAATTTTTATGCAATTAACTTTCAGCTTCTGTAATTTAGCTCTCATTCCAGAGGACTTCAGAGAAGCTTATCCTACGTTACAGAGGGTTACCTATTAAAAAAACAAAACAAAACAGCCAAGTAATCCAAGCGTAAGGCTCACCACAGCAATGCCTTCTCCACAGAAATACTAGGGAAAAGAATGCACATAACCTTTTGAAACCTCAAAAGCCCAGACAGTAGCAGCCAGCTGAATATCGCCTAAAACATGAAACTGAACAACAAAACCTCTGCAATGTTCTTCTGAGCCTCCTGTTGCTCTCTGGTCAGTAGCAGCAATATTTCACTGGTTAAGAACTCTGTATCTCCTGGGGGAAGGCCTCATGAGGGACACTCACCTATTACACACAACCCAAACCATTATAGAAGATACCCAGATTCTCACCTCACAATCAGATCTCCAGAATCTGAGTGCTTGCTCTGCACAGGAAGATGGAACCTATTGTACCTCCAGAGGTTCAACTTTTATTATTAACAGTTTTTACAGCCAAAGCCATTCCTCCTCTCCAGGCAGCTAAGCAACATCACCTTTGCTGACAGCTACCTCCTGGGCATCAGGAGACTGTTGAGAGTTTTGTCTTTCCAAAGGCACTCAAGCCCATCATCTTCCCAAAAGTAGCTTCACATAGAAGAAACAGGCTAGTTTTAATTAATTACATTTTTCTGTGTTATTCTTTTCCCCCCACCTTCCTTCACCACACGCTATTGACCTTCAACTGTGATTTGTGGTCCCACCTGAGAGTAGCACCTAGCACACTGCAGATTACATCTCAGTTACAGACACACAGCTCAGGAAACTAATCTATGGTACACAACGTCAATACGGGTTTGTGCAGCATGCTGCTCTATTTCCTGAGGATGCCACAGGCTTTGCTAGGCAGGAAGCACACAGAGAAGCTCAGGCAACAACTCTACAACATTCATGGCACTGTATGAAGTTTCCATTAATGCTTTCTATTTCCTAACCTTCCTTCCTTTTATTTTTCACTTGGAAGCAAGTAAAGACAGCTCTGGAGGCACAGACTGCTTCTGTTTTCACAGGCACTGTATCTAAAGTACTCAGCATCCAATCCCTGGGTTGCAGGCACTGCATCACATGCTGCTGAGCATACTTACCATGTACTCTATTTGCAATATTCTTACTTCCCTTCAAAGTGGAGAGCATTTCCACAGCAGTCTTTCAAACATCACATACAGAGAGCATAAGAACAATCACCCTCACAGTGTAAATGTGAAATAGAGTACTGAATTCATGTGCTCATCCCAGTATAATTAATGAGTTAAGCCAGCTTCAAAAAGCCTGCTTGAAATATCTTATCAGCTGTTCTTCAGCCTCACTCTTCTCCAAAAAAAAAAAAAAAAAAAAAACAACCAAAAAAAAACATTGCCTCAACTTGAAAAACAGGCTGCCTTCTATACTTACAGCAAATTCTACCATCATCACATAAAACAATTCTGGCTTTGTACCCAATGAAGACATAGAGAAGAACCCAAAGATGAGAAAGACTAAGGTAATAATGAGTCCTAGAGGAAAAAAAAATCATATAGAATTTAATTTTAAACTTAATATTGTTCTGTGTGTCTTGGAGGACAAAAAAGAAAAGAAGGTGCACTATCCTATAAAATCCACCACCTGTGGATGAGCAAAATGAGCACATAGCATGAAGTTCTGAAAGTGAAGAAAGTAATGTTTCAAACTCCTTTAAGGAGCTACAGGGCACCCAGCTATAGCTGCGTAGAATTCAGGATATGCACATATCCTTGTTAAGGCACCGTGCTACACTGCCTAAACTGAATAACACAACTGCTCAAAGTATTACTCCACAGAGGAATTCTGTATCCCTTTTCTGTAAGTACCAGGAGTCTACTTATTATGCCAGCTATTTAACAAACATACACATGAAAGCAGGAATTGGTTATGCTGCAATCAAATGCACAATGCAGGAGGACGATACAATACCAGCTTGCTTTAGCAAATATGATTGCTTGTCAGCAAGTACCTCACAGAAAGTATAGCTTCACTTCAGTAAGGCTTGAATGGAATAAGGGCAGCGAAACTGGTGAGGGGTCTGGAGCACAAACCTTAAGAGCAGTGGCTGAGGAAGCTGGGATTGTTCAGTCTGGAGAAGAGGAGGCTCAGGGGAGACCTCATTGCACTCTACAACTTCCTGAAGGGAGGCTGAGGTGGAGAGGGGTTGGGCCTCTTCTCCCAGGCAACAAACAGGACTCGGAGAAATGGCCGCAAGTTGTACCAGGGGAGGTTTAAGTTAGACTGAAGGAAGAACTTTTTCTCTCAGAGAGTGGTCAGGCACTGCAATGGCTGCCCAGGGAGGTGGTGGAGTCACCGTCCCTGGCAGTGTTCAAGAGGCGTCTGGACAAGGAGCTGCGAGATATGGCTTAGTAGCTTGTGGTACTAATAGGAATGGGAAGGTGGTTGGACTAGATGATCTTACAGGTTGTTTCCAACCTTGTGATTCTATGATACTATGAATCACATTTGGAGATGCTGCAGTACATGCAGAATTTCATAAAAAGTAGTATTTCTGATTCAAGCCCTCCTCTTCAGTCAGCATCTACCAATGCACTAGTGCACTACTGGAAATGGTACAAAGAACAGGGCACAGGTGCACGCACAAACAAGGCAACAGAGACTTACAAGAGGCAGCCTAGATCATCTTTACACCCAGGCTGACAGAGCCCAGAAGAATGCAAGTGCCAACTGTTTAACATTCAGTGGCTCAAAAACTTCAATTTCTTACAACTTCAACGTTCAGATTCTTTCAGAAGTCTTGTGTGTATACATTTCCTTTCCCATCTTCCTGTTCTACTGAAGACTTTATGCAGGGCAGCCTGGTTTTAGCTCAAAAACATCAAAGTTTTTTCTGAAGAATCCAGGGATTCCTCATGAATCATTTAAACAAGACAGGAGGCACTAACAGATTCCAGGTAACATACCTTTGAAACAGGAGACTTACTACAAGTTTCCACAGCCAGCTGCTCTTGAGATGAGTATTTCAAATTGATAAGTTCCTCCCAGATTCTCACTGCCATGAAACTGCCACTCCGCCAACAAAGAGGTAAGTTCTTGTCCCAGAAAGCTCTCTATGTAAGCTACATATCAATAGGTATGATGCTTAAGACAACTGTTTGTTACTTTTTATGACTCTTATGACAGAACTAGAAACATGACCTTTTCATTGAAAAGGCAGAAAAGAGAGGATTTGAACAAGTGAAATAATGGCAGACCAGCTATACTGGTAATTTATTTGAATAGACACAGCAAGGACACTGCTAACACCCATTCCACCAGGCTCACCTCCACTTTCACGTGAAGAGCCTACATTTGTAAATGAGAAGCAAGCCAACCTGATGCATCTTGTGTGAAGCCAGGTCTCCTCATCACAACTCATCCTAAGGAACACGCTGCCGGGGTTCCTTTCTCCAGTGTGAGGGCAAACATCACTGTCAGGCAGCGCTGGGTTCCAGCCCACTGCTCAGAGACGAGCTGAGATACCTGATCACTGCCTGCTTTGACCCAAGCCCTCCCCAGATCCTAAGTTCCAACAAAGAACGCGACTGGCTGTTAAAACAACTGAGCTAAATGGCATCAGCCACAGGAAACAGCCTTAAATGCAGCAAGCTGTTTATCACAGACAACGTCAGAGCGCCTTCTGTAATGTGTTAGTTAATGATTAAGCTATGCTAATTAAGAACTCTAGCTTCTCAGCAAGGGATAAATACAGATGAAAAACTAAAACCAGAAGTCCGCTCTTTAGAACATTGAGGGGTGTGGGAGGGGGTGGGAAAATGCAATTGTCACATCATGGTTTAAGTGAAACAACGTTACTGTACCCAGGATGTGGTGGCTGCAGAAAGCATGCCTTCCTACCCCTCTAAGGAAGAGCAACCTGGAGAAACACAAGGGCTAGCTGGTCTTCAAATCATCGTAAATTAAAAAAAAAAGAAAAGTATACTGAAGGGGAAAAATATATATTCAGAATCCAAGCTCACAGTTAACAAGTAAAGAAACAGGAAGATGAAGTGGAACAGCAAGAAAATACCTGGGAAGAAAAGTAGATCAATTCTGAATATTCTGCCCTTCTCCCTTTATTTTCAGTACCAATGACGACATACGTTCCTGGATTTTCACGCTAGAGAATACTGCTTGAAAATGCTAACCAAGAAGAGAGAAACAAAGAGCAACACCAGAAACCAAACAAAGGAGAAGCCCAGGTAGATATGAAGGGATGCACGTGAGCACCAGCCCACACTAGAGCAGACACTGCTACTACATGCACTTGGGCATGAGGCTGCCCGTGGTCCAAACTGCTATAGCAAACGTGGGAAACAGACATAAAAATGCAGTCTAGAGAGCATTCAAGGCCTTATGGGAAACTGAGCAGGATGTGTTCAGAAACACTTCTGCAATCCTCCTTCTGTTCTCACTTCTTGAGATAAAAATAACAGAAGAGGAATTCTGTTTTCTGTACTGCAGCTTCTTCAATCAAGTTCCCTCTCCCTGTCCCACTCGCATACCCCTACACCCACACCATTATAGGAGAATTGATTCATACCATAGGAGATGAACAGAATGCTGAGAAGTGATAGAACATGAAAAACCCTAAGTACAGGGTACTCATTTGCAGGCCATGCCACACATAAGCTGAGAGTATTAAAAAATAATAATAAAAGCCAATCACACATATACCTTTTTATTTTCAGGTCATAAAAACACTCACCACTCTGAAAATGAGCATTGCCTGGGACTGAACAACTGATATGTGAATAGTGCTAAGCAAAGGCAGTTATGCCTTGCCATAATTTTGCCCATATAAAACACCTCACACTCCTTTTATCAGTGACATATCTTCTGGAGATGGCCAATAGAATCAACCTCAGAAAAATTCCTGTTTGGTGCTTCCTGCAGCAAATGCTTCCATGCAGGCTCACTTCAGAGTCACACGGGCACCTTACCTGCAAATAGGCACTAGCAAAAGATAAGTCTGGACTTTGGACTCCTGCACCAAACCCCTTACATCAGTTTCCTCTTAGATGCACCTGATGAAGTCTCTCTTTCTCCTCCTCAGTACCTTTTCATACACGTTTTTTTTCTCTAGTTCAACTTACATAGACAGTATAGCTATATAGCCAAAAATTATGCATTTTGAAAAGACAGCAGATTTTTATATTGTCATTTCAGGCCTTTCCAGGACTGCACTGGAAATAAAACCCCTGCATCAAAATGAATGCTATGAGAACATTGAGCTGACACACTGCCACAAGCTGAGCAGATGCACTCAGTTTCCATCTTCTGGGGAAGCTCCTTAGCCTGTTTAAATCCTTCCTCCCACTGTTACACACTGACACTAAAGAGGGTCTCAAACCACCCTGCAGAGAGAACAGTCTCTAGTGAAAGACTGCAAACCCCCTTACAAATTCATCAGAAGGGCAGCTCAGCCAGACTCAGGCCAGATTATCCACTGAGGATTGTCACCAACTATCCCCAGGGAACCTGCTATCACAAACTGAGAGTGTCAGCTAGGAGATCTGCTTTTATAAGCACTAGGATGAGCTTCCCCTCAGCTTTGTATTGCCACGGAAAGGCTGAAGAGGCCATATCAGTACAATTCAACCCTTCCTTCTTGAGTTGCAAGACATTTTCTAACACCTCTGTCTAACCTCTCACATCAGACCCGTTCAGGATTCTCACCACCATTTCCCACCCTCTGCTGCCAACAGAAGGTAGCAAAAAGGTATGGTTGTAGCAGACAACTTTTTTGTGTTATATTACACATAAAAATTTATTTTGCTCCATGCTTAGGCTTCAAAATCTCCTCCACTGCTAAACAGTTCATCTTTGGATGGGGAGGAGATCATTGGCGTAAAATAAAGCAACATACGGTTTGCACATACATTCTTCCTAGGAAAACTTAGAGCTGCTTGGACTAATAATCAAAAGTTCATCAGTTTAAAGATGTTTAAATATATTTGAGAAACAATATTTGTTTGCTCAGCCAATAAAGGAGGAAAGAGACAGAAAGAAAAGTACTTTAAGTTGCATGTATGTGCCCACTTGCATTTTTTCAGTTACACATCCCAACACATAAGCACGAGATGCCACTATGATCAAATCCAATATATCTTGCTCCAATGAAATTATTTTCTCACTTAAAGGTATGAAAAACAAAGACACACACACATCCATCAAGAAACCTATTTAACTAAAGCATATAAACACCACACATGTGCACCCAAAAAAAAAAATCTCAAAAGATTTAGAAGACGCTCCCAGTGAGAACCCTTAGAACTCACCCCTTTGCACTCAAGCTGGCAGTTGCAGGAAGCAAGGCCAGCAGGCCTGCACAGCACTTAATGCCTCATCATTGCTAGGGGAGCTGGAGGAAGAAAGAGGTGGCAGCCGGAGGAATTATCCCTGTTCTGATTAGCATCAGAACAAAGGTTCCCATTAGTTCCGTCAGCAGCAGGGCTCCCCGAGAGCACCGAGTAATAACCTTGTTGAAAGCATTAGAGGGATATTCCTCCATCCCTGCTCAATCTATGTCTCATCTCTAAGAGAGAGCATGGGCGGGCGGGGGGGTGTGAAGCAAGGTCCAAAAAGCAGCTTGATGTTTAATTCTTTGAAAGAAAGAGTCTGGCACTGTCTTAGCATTAATTCTGTTCTAGCTTCTCAAGGGTAGCATCTGGAAGCAGATAGAGAAAACAAGAGAAAAAACCAACCACAAGCAGAACGCATTTTCTGTTCTTTGAAAAAGACTGAATAGCTCAGGTGGCTTATTGGCTTATCATGCAAGGTTAACTCTGGAAGGCAAAAGAGTTCAGCAGTTTCTGTAACAAAGCCAAGAAGTGGCAACGGCATGAAGAACACAAAAGAAAAACATCCTGTGGTACACAAGCACCATAAAGAAGTCAGAGGTATCATCCTTTTTCCTGAAGCACAGTTATAAAATTTTAATAAAATATTTTAGAATAGATTTCAAAAGAAGAACCAACACTAGCAGCACGTGGACGTCTCATTACAGCAGAAAAATATGGAAGGCATCACATTCTGACAAGTCTGGAGAAAAATCTCTGGTATATGGACAAAACATACACATCTAAAAAG